GAGGACAAGGATTGTTCCATTATAACCTTCTTGACAGCAGGCTTGATCCTCGTGCGGTAGTACTTTCGTGAATAGAGTTCAAGAGGTTTGAGGTGACGGCGTTCAGCAGGCTTCGTTGCAGCATCCATATTGAATGCCAGCTTTTTGAGAGCTGCACCTGAGCATCGAGCAGAGGCATTCCTGTTCTGAAACCATTCACAAAGCTGCTGCTCATGTGGCATTGTCAGCGTGACAGCTATGGCAGTCTATCGCCAAAACTTACCTTTTGACGTGCACTAATCGTCGAACCGAGTTGTGTTTTCTGTTCAGGTGTCAGGACGGTGACCTCATGGCCAAAGAGCTTCTTGCACTCAGAAAACTCTTCGAACCATTCGCATTCCACCTGGACAAAGAATGGGTCTTGGTTGCCTTCTTTCTGGGCTTTGAGGTATTGCAGGTACAGGTTGTCGAGGAATGCGTATTCCTGTTCTGTCGTCCAATGACGGGGGGCCATGTCAAGAAATCTAAGATGTGAATAGCTTGTAAGCCATGCAGCCACTTAGATTAGAGCTAGAAAAAGGCTTACCGGACTGACGCGATGAATCAGGCTGCTATGGCCTTGTATTTGACTTCGTGGCCTGCAGCCAATTGGAAGTGGTTGCGAATAATGGCATAGGCCATCCAGTTTGTGGCAAACATGTATCCGAACCGTGAGCAAATAAACATGCTGACTGGAATCACCTGACCTTGAGTGTCTAGATTAAAAACTTGCTCAGGTCTCCAACACATGCTCCAGTCTCACTTCTTGCCCCGATTCTCTTTGCTGTTCCTCTGTTTCATCCTACACTCTGTGTGCAATGACCAATGGTGACTGCAAACACAAGGCTCATGCTGAACCTGAGGAGAGTTATGATGGCAACAACAGCATGATGATATCGTTGGACATGTTGATGGCGGCTCTGCACCTCATCTCAGACCAGCACAGTGGTATGTAGCTGAACGGACATCATTAGCTTCATATGCTAAACATCGTGCTCATAGCTGAACATAACCTGCACCATGAACAAGGTGAGCCTCACCTTGAAATTGAAGCATGCATCATATTCTCACCGCATTGCAGCCACCTCCAGCGATGAGGATATTCACTCGTCTTCAGCATCGCACACCCACTCCATGAGTACCAGCATGGGTGGCACATCGACAATGATGATGTCCACCATGCAATCAAGTCCAGATGTAGTTGCCGCAGATTCTATGGCCGGTGCTGCACTTGCCCAAGATGCAGAGAGTGCTGGCTTTCAGTGCATCGAAGCAGAGGGGGAAACCAAGCATAGCGATGATGGAGATGATGGAGGATGTTGTGTGCACCAGCTGTCAACTCATTGGTATTGTATCTCATGGAGTCGGGCTGTGGGAGTGTTTGCTGGCTGGTGAGTGCAATATGCAACAGTGCCCAGCATTTACTTACAGTATGCGCTGAAGGCCCAACACTTCACCGCTCGTTACTGGCGTTCCTGGTGCCATCTTCCAGCACTACCTGTCCTTCACGACTGCACTGACGGCATTCCTGGAGGCAGCTGCTAATGGTCAGGTTGGCATCATCCTGGTGTGATGGCAGCACATGAGCATAGAAGTGACACAACATGCCTGTGTAGACACACTCTCTCCTCCTTTGCCATCTCATTGTACCATCTATGCTCCACCACCTCAACATGTTCTGTAATCCCTGTTTTGTCATGATTTGTCCAAGTCATAGTCGTTAATACTTACCTGTCCTACCTGTCTCATCTTGGCATTGCATATACTGTAGTTCTTGTTCGCAGTGTGTGAATTGACGTGTGTACTGTCCTCAGGCTCATGCACGTGAACTATGCAGCAATGATAGATGCACACATTATAAGCTTACCAGTAACAAGCCAATGCACACACTGTGATCATGGGTCACAAAGCGAAATACCACACAGTCCAAGAGAGACTCGCTGCGAAGCACAAGCAGCAGAGGGTATACGCCGCATCGCAGAGGTTCGTGAGTGTTCTCAGACACTGGATTAATCCTCATCCTAAGTGACTTTATCAGAGGGCATGCGACGCGTGCATCACAAAATAAAAGAGCATACACTGAACACATTGGATCATACCCAAGCCCATTTCACCATAACATCTCTGAACTTCCCACCCTACTCATCACCCAAGCACACCGTAGCTTTCTACTGGGAAATCTGCCATCTAATGAGCATGACTTGGGGTTGTACACTCACCCATTCGAACCTAGTCCTCCGGACTTTTCAGCACAGCAGGAGGACGATGGCTTGTTTGATGGTCCAGAGAGCGACCTCAACGAACTTGTGCCAGCTCTTCATGTGACACAATTTCATTTGCTTACAGAGGCAGCATACATGAGACTGGATCGATGGACAGCTGACAGCCTGAGAGATGGGCTAGTAGCAGAGATCGAGGAGGAAATTATGCTCAGACTAGATGGGTGGAGGCTGGCACAGAGCAGGAGGCTGAGTGGTGATTTGAGAAGAGATGCAGTGCAGGTGATAGCACAGGAGTGGGCCGCAAAGATTATTTGTTGCCTGAAGATAGAGGTGGAGGTGCATGCGATGGAATCGATAGAGGATGCATGGCAGGCAGGGAGGTTGCCGTGGCAATGTATGAATGGAAAGACAAAAACTAGTACTTGAATTAAATCGCGATGTCGCTGGCCAGTAAGAGTTTTGAGTTGAGCAAGTGAGACGGATCTAACGCTGAGTCAAGAGATGGCGCTGAATACGCCTCTGCCACATATGGTGCTAAAGTGGCACTGTATCGTGTTTTCATGCATAGCTGATGAGCTTTGAGGCTACGCTGCTCTCGGACAGCTCCAAATGTACAAACATAATCAAGGGCACACATACGCATTTTATTCAGAGCATACTAACTGGTAGTAAACCGTTGCTGACACTGTCTGCAACGGCAGCGGGCCATGTGGTTGGAAATCAGCATGGTCATTTTCTCATCGTTGATTGGCTGCCGCATCGTGAGTTGAGATTTGTAAGCACATGAACTTCGTAAGATTATGATCGAGATTTGTTGAATACGCTTTTGTTGAATACGCTCCTCAGGGCAGAGTTCGAATTAAAGTTCGAGCTCTCCCGGTCAACTTAGCATTGCTCATCACTCACCTTCTTCCCTCCCCCTCCCTTCTACCTTCTTCCCTCCCCTACCTCCCTTCCTTCCCTACCTCTCTTCCTTCTTCCCTCCCCTCCCATGCTAATGATATATGCTGTATACTTTCATGCAATGTTTTACGTGCCGGTAAGTTCACA